ATGTTTATTCAGAGAAAGTACGTTTTTGTGTCTGATTTCGTAACTTAATTAATAGTTAGCACTAATTAATTAGCATATTTGAGGTCACCCCCAGGAACCATTAAGATTGACACTTAGTTCGTGAAAATCCGATCATTAGAACGAAAGTTATTCAGGGTGATTCGTTTTTTTTTTTTGCGGACTGTACATATTACTTCCTATTTTGTCCTAATTTCCTAATTTTGTCCTATTTTATGCATCCATTAGATATGGAAGTGTAACATTTTTGCTACACTCCCAAAAAATATGGAAGTATAACAGAAATTTAGCTTCTTTTGAAAATATCATATATGCTAAACAAACGTTTTTCTGGTCCGTTTCATAATTTAAAAAATTATTATCCTTACTATTTAGCTAGCACATTTAAGGTTTGTCCCTTAAACAATTAAGAATCCATCTTAAAATATGTGATGATCCCAATATGAGATCAAAAGTTTCCTAGTAGTGAATATAACTTTATTTTATTTTATAACCGTCGTTGAACAGCCAACCCAATTCTGAGTTTATGACTATCAGTGTTCACCTCCTCGCAGTTTTAAATCCAAGCCAGAAGACAAGAGAACTCCTGGATCAGACATTGAGACAAACTAGCTTTCGTGCAGAACTTTCTGACGGAACTAACTCGCGTTTACCTTACTTGGAAAGGAAAACCACGTAAAACTTCCCATAGTTAGCCCGACGTCAAGGGGATTCTAACCCGTGATCCGTCTACCAGCACTGTGATCGGAGTGAGTCTGGTGTAGAATTCGTATCAGCCAGCCACCACTGAAATTCAAACCTGAGTCACCTCATTGGGAAGCGAACGCTCTATCCCCTGGGCCACCGCGTCTAAGCTAATTTGACTTAGATCCTCATAGGATATTTGAAAATGTTAGCTGAATAATGACTAGATGGGTCTTTATCAATCAATATTACACCTTGATTTAAAATTGTCAGCTTCATCCAACATTTTATAATCATTGTACTCACTCAGTCTTCTGTTCTTTAGATTTTACGGTAACAGCCTACAGCCTATAATTTTCAGCTATTCTTCAACTGAGATAGGATCTAAATTTAGTTACCTGAGAGTATCGAAGTTCAGTAAGGCGAAATTTAGATATCTCAAGTTTGGTTCCTCGGCGCATGAGCTTCTAAGATTTTTGAGCACTTTCGTGACTCAGGTAAAACTGTTACTATAATAATTACGTTTGGTGCGACTCTTTTTCTTTAATGTTATTACTCTCTGTTCAATGTATGCATCATACATGTCCACTTTAAGATCCTCGGGAAGAATAATTTGTGCAAATATAGGCAAACAACAAATAAATAATTTGAATCAGATGTCTTGTTTATTACCTTAGTGTATCTTTGACCAGAGTCCTTTAAGGTTGCTGCTTTCCAAGTCAATAAGCGGGCTGCTTCTGTTCTCATCTCCATGTCAGCAATTTTCATCTGGATTTTTTAGTTAAAAAAGCAGAACAAGGTTAATAATTGCAAAGAAAAATCTGTTAAATTATTGGAAATATATTTGTGCTAAAATATAAAATCCAAAAAAAAAAGTAGCATGATTTTTTTAAATTCATATTTAAACATTTATCAATAATTGATTTTGTCAAATAAAAATATTTCTCTTAGATCTCAATAATTACAAATTTGAAAAGTTATTGTTAGGAAGGGAGCCGTGTTTGAAAGATTTAATCTTTGACCCAGAAAAAGAAACCTGTGTTTCATTATGTATTTCATAACCATAAATTACTAAAAGGCTAAATATAGTATTTTTCATTTATTTTGACCTAAATTAATATAAAACAATGATAAAAAGTTTAAAAAATATGTTTAATAAAAATTCTACGTCAGAGAGTTAAATTGTGATGGTTTAGGAAACACTACTGGAATTCTATAGTAGTTTCGGACATCTTAGTATACTTATTTTCCTTGTATCAGAAAATGTATGGCATTGACAAGTACCCTTTATTCATTTTAGCTGTGAACGCTTCAGTAAATTACATCAATACAATAGCATCAGTTCCCTTTGTACATTCTGTAAGTATATCAGAAGTTACCTGAATCGCTTGAAGGTTTAGCAGGGTTCTGTCAAAGGCCTTCCTCTGCGACGCATACACGATTGCACAATCGAGAGCTGCCTAAAATGTATGCAATAAAGTAATCATAACACCAGAAAACAAGTACGCAATTTTTACATACATGCTTTAAGATACTAAACTATACCGGCAGAAAAAAAAATCGTTCTTTCTTTCTTTTTTTTTTCAAACTGTCTGCTTAGTCGATTGATAAAACTTCTTGTATAGTTGAGATACGATATAAGTTTCAATACACCCTCACACACAAAAAAAAAGCTTACAACACGAATAATTTTTAACGTAATAATCGAATTTTTATTTACAAAATACAATCTTAAAGATTCAATTGGGTATTTTTTGGGCATGCAATTAATACAAACGATAATTTAAGTTACGAAATCAAGATTTAAAAGAGTACTTTATCTGAATAAATCGCATCCATTCTAATTTTTGTCTATGAAACACGAGGGGAAGTTTGGAAAATATGATTCCAGTAGTTCCATTTCTTTCCATATAGCACAAAGTCACCTATAGAATGTCTACCTGCCTTCATTCATAACATTCGCATGATTCATGTGTTTGCTGCATGGTCGTCTAATATGCGATCATACGAAATTCTGAGAAACTTCATTAGAAATCTCACAACCGACCATCTAACTCTTACCGCGGATGATTCGTAGACGTAATGGCACATGCTCGTTTTGAATCGTCTATGATCGGTCATGTTAGGCTTAACTACGTAATTATAGAATTTAAATTTTAAAATAAAATTTTCACTCAAGCAATTACGATTAAAAATACCAAAGTGTACGCTTAGAACTGGCCTTGGAACATTTCGAATTCTGAAATACGGTCAAACAAGTAGATCTGGAATTTCCAAAAAATAAACTTTTCCAAATAAAAAAAGATCTTGAAATTTTTCTTTTATGAAGAGCACTGACCTGTGAAATCCCAATAGCTTGACTTGCCATACCTATTCGACCACCATCAAGAACTGTCTACAAATACTCAGAAACATTATTACAATAAATAAAATTACCACCAATGAAAGAATACCATGCAATAATTTATTACAAATCTTAAATCAATTTGCTCAAACATTTTTAAGTTTTTCTCAACATTTTTGCTCATGGACAGGAACTGTTTTGGTTCATCTTAACTGAGTAATAATAATTCTCATCTAGGAGCGACAAGGGGGTTGTACCCCCAATTTTCTATGTTATTGATCTACCAAAATTTATTCATCTTCAAAACGCAGCAGATGGCAATCCAATCGAATTTTTGAAGGAAAAAAAAAGGACTTAAACCGTTCTTCCTCCTTGATGGTCTTTGATGAATGAGAAGCAACTAGGCTAGGGGGCTGTTGAGCAACGCGAACAGTAGTTGAAGTCCCTTAGTATATGAAAACTGGTCGTTTTAAATAATGAAAATCATCATGAATTTTTTTAATAATATTGATTATTAACAAGAAAGTCATTAAATATTAAAATAGCGATTATTTTGAGATTTAAAAAACTGTCTGTGTTAGCGATTAGTTATAATTTAAAATTAGTTATAATTTAAATTATAAATTTAGATTAGTTATAATTTAAAAAGAATTAGTTTAAATTATAAGAAAATAATTACTTTTTCATCAAGATCGATTTTCGAATTTTTTTTAAAAAACAATAACACCGGGAATAGCTATGAACAGAATTTCTTCCCCATTGCAACTGCGTTAGTGATCTTTTTGCCGTCAAACTGGTAGCACATTTTAAAATCGTAACTTTTAGAAATGGGCTAAGGGGATTAATTCCAAAATCAGAAGTCCTTCATCGCTAAGTTTTGAATCAAGTTTATATATCCTATTAATTCACAAAATATTGCCTTCGACAAATAATTATTTCGTATATAATATTTGAAATTATTGCTTGAAAATATTATAGAAAAATTAACTATCGAGTTTACAAATTTTTGAAAGATTAATTAAACCCATACATGACACAAAATTGAACTGTTAAAATTTTTTACATAAGTTGCAACGAATCGAATTTTAAAGTCTAATATCGTACAAATATAATTAATTATTACGATATTAGAAGTATGAATTCAATGAGAATCTAAATATATGTATATCTATTTCGAATTTTCAAACAAAATTTTATTCGTTAAAGAACATTAAAAATCCTGTATGAAAACAAGCAGATACAATGCACAAAAATTATTAAAATTCCTCCTTAAACGAGGAACGTATGAACTTTAAAGCTTTGTTTTTTAAAAAGCGGACGGTTTTAAAACTGCTGCTATTTAAAAACAAACCTAGTTTTAAACTTTTTAGTTGAAATGTTACGCCATTTCCCATTAAAAAAAAACTTCTTCAGCATCCTCTAACTTTCATGACAGTTTTAAAGCATGATAATCAGATCAAAGTAAAGCAGTTTACCATTGCAATTTTAAATCCATCTCCTAATTTTCCTAGAAGATTCGCTTTTGGAATCCTACACTCTTCTAAAATTAAATTGCAAGTAGATGATCCTTTAATTCCTAATTTGTCTTCTTTTTTACCTACAGAAAGTCCAGTTGTAGATTTAGGAACAATAAAGCAACTAACGCCTTTGTGTTTCTTCGATTTGTCTGTTGTAGCAATCACCTGAAAAATAATTGAAACTTTAGGAACATCCAACAAAGGATAGGGCAGGGAGGGCGAACCAATGGCACGCGTGCCATTTATGGCACCCGACACAATATTTTGGGCACATAACCGATCACGAAGTTCACTATGAAGCATATTAAAAATTAAATTAAAATTCACAAAAAACAAACAGAAAAAAGAACAATTATTAACAAAAGAATTAACAATTAATGTAAAAAAAACCCAATTAATAACCATAAAAAACAATCTAACAATAAATGACTAGAAAAAAAAATTAACAGTCTTGCTTAAGCTAACATCTTACAACCTAATATAAGTTATTTGTCATCTTCTAATCTGCAATAACAGAAGTCACACTGATGTTACTTTAAGTTGAATTACGCGCATAACTGAGACATTTCAAAATGTATTTTTTTTCCATACTGAATAAAGAGTTTTGAGTTGACACTATTTTGTATTGTTATTTTCCCAATAATCAGTAAGTCAAAATTATTTGACGGCACGTCTATGACCTCATTAAACAATTTTTAAGAAAAATGGCATGTTGGAGTATAAAGGTTCGCCATCCCTGGGATAGGGTATGTTTTATGCTATGTAGATTAGAGCAAAATAAATAAATTTAAAAAAAAAACAGTGTGAATAAGCACAAATAAAAATACATAAATGGACAAACTTTAATTTCAGTTCACAAGAACCTTTCTATAAGCACCATATGATAGCCGAGAAAGTGAAGAGACAAACGAGTGCAAAGTAGTTTAACCAATGGGGATACAGGAACGAGTTTGAACAAGTCAATCAAAAACAGGTGTAAGGGTGTTATCCTTTAGACATTATTATCATCAACATTAGTATCCATAATTATCATCGACATTATCATCACCATAGTGTATCCATAATTAAATTTACAATTCAATCAAAGTTGAATACAATTAAATTAAAATTATTGAATTAAAATTATTAAATTAAAATTATTATATTAACATTATTAAATTTAAACAATTTAAAATATGAACAATCAATAGCCCTCCCTCAGGGACCGTGGAAAATTATAAAACGTTGACCGGTCTGCGGTGATAAAAAGGTCAGGGAAAACTGCATTAAATTAACGAAAACTGCAAATTTTTCAATACTTTTAAGGACATGGAATGATATTTTCACCAGATTGAACAGCAATTGCAGGATTGTAAACGAATAAAAAATTCACAATTAATGACTAATATATGCTTTAACTAATCAATATTTTATTTCCTTATAGTGTATCTGCCCAAAAAAAAGTGAGCTTAAAACACTTTTGTAATTTATATCCTAATACCTATTTTATATCCTAATACTTATATCCTATATATTGAAGTAATTTACCGAAAGCACAACATACGGTAAATTTGATAAAGTATTTCATATTTAAAAGAATCTCGGAAACTCTGATTTAAAAGAATTTAATTATTAGGCAAGACATTTTTCAAACTGAAATAAATATTACTTAAGAATAAATCAATGGATGATTGCCACTGAGTAACTTCTAAAATAATATACAGAACTGTTACTAAATAAATTTCTGAACCAATGATGTGATTTTTATTTACTACGATATTCTTGGATCAGGGGAAGAAAAAAAGTTGACGCAAAATCTATTTTCTCGAAATGAGAATTTATTTTTCCCTGGGAGATTTGGATTTTAAGCCATCAAAATACAGGAGATATTCGTAATCTGAAGCACATACTTAAAGATTTTTTTTTCCAATGGCAGGCACTGAATTTGAATCTTTACCTATACTATGCCAGAATAGTTGCTCATTTCGCGTTACCCAGTGGACACCTGTGAACCAAAGTCACGGAGGCGAGCAACATTGCCCACGCCACACTGCCACAAACCCGTNTACGTTTGGCAATTTTTTTATTTTATTGACAATTCGTGTAATCACATTAAAACACGATTACACAATTTCCATCCATGCCCAGAGCGGGATTCGAACCCGCAGCCTATGGCTTCGCAGTCAGACACGCTAACAGCTCGGCCACCAGGCCGGCCATAAAGATTTTAAATCATAGTGAAGTTTTTAAAACATTATTTGAGCCATCGATTGATCGCGCCACGTCTTGGCGCCGCAACTTCCGGGAAGCGACCTGCAAGAAACTCAAAAATTAATATCACAGAAGAGGATTAACTCGAAGAGCAACCCTCTGGCAAACCTCTACATGTTTTTGTTTTTGCTTTTTTATTTCTTCAAGTTGCATATTTAAAATTTATTTGGCACCTTGGTGGTTGTGGTTAGTGCAACAAATCACGATATCGAAATTCTTTCGGTTGAGTACAGCCAAAATTAAATTTTACTTAACAATATTTAAGAATTGAATTAAACTGTATTTACGAGAGCAGCCTCAGCTTCATGTCCATTCGTAATCCATGCTTTTGTACCATTAAGAATCCAGGAGTCACCATCTAGCCTTGCGGTTGTTGATACAGCGCAGGCATCACTTCCATTACCTGCAAAGCATATTTCTTTCTTAGTCTATTTTTTTTCTTCTTTTTTTTGGAAACACTGTCTAATTATTCTAATACAGAATATGGTCAGCTACTATATTGGTTAAAATTAGAATGCAAAAAGAAGGAATTTTAGTACATTTACCTGCTGTTTTAAGCGTAATTTTGATATTTTTTTTAACTCTTAATTGGCCACTTCTTTATATTTTTTTTATAACCGTCGTTGAGCAGCCTACCCAATTTTGGGTTTACGACTACTGATGTTCAACTCCGTAGCCTTGTAATTTTGAACCCAATCCAGAAGATAAAAAAACTCCTGAATCAGTACCCACAGAAGTATGATTTGTTATGGGAACATAGAGGACTTTCTGACCCGACAAATTTAACGTGCATCAGTCACCATTTACTTACGCAGCTGGCGGGGATCGAACCCAAGACCTCTTGGATATGGGGTCAGTCTGGCAAATCTTGAGTTTTGAATGCTTGAAACATCCCTAATGTTATTTTCTATTTATATATTTTTGAAGAGAATTATTTAATCAAGTAACAACTTATTGCTTCTGTTTCTTGAGATTATTTATTTAATGGACAGAGATAATCTTTTATACAGGGTGTTCAGTAAAAACCACCTTTAATATGAATTTTTAATGTGGTAGTCTGCATATGCAAGAAATTCAAGAAAGTATGCACATTGGGGGTGGTAAATTAAGAAATTAATGTTTAAGTGAGAAAAAAACAAAAAAGCTATCGAAATCTGATTAACCACAATATAGGCAAGTGCGTGTAGTAAACACTGCAACAGGTTTAATAACAGAAGGAAAGAGAGAACGATTTTGCAACTTCCAATTAAATCTCTCTTTTTTTTAATATTTATTACATCTACCTACCTCTATTGTGATTTGTCAGATTTCAATAGCATTTTTTGTTTTCTTTTCCTCGTTGAAATATTAACTTGGGATCACCAATGTAAAAACTTATTTGTTTTCCCTTTTCATAAGGATTCTAAAAATACATATTAAGGGTGAACAATTCAATTTAGGGAAACACGTAATATATACATCCAGTTATAATTTAAGAGTATATTTATAATTTTGACGAAAAAATTGATTATCATTATGATTAATAAATTATTAAAATTTTGTATTAATTATTTGAAATTTCTAAATATCTTTTTAGAAAACATTATTTGAATATTACCTGGTTCACTCAAGGCAAAGCAACCCACTCTTTCTCCACTTGTGAAGGGTGTGACAAAAGTTTCAATTTGTGATTTATTTCCAAACTGCAGGAGGCCACCCAAATATAAAGACTAAAAAAAAACAATCATTAAAATGTAATAGCTAAGAAGTATTGTAAACTAAATTTGAAAGTATTATGACGCAATATTGTTTTTGTAACTATAGCCTTTTATGCTTCTGTAAATATACTTTTCTATGCTTCTGTAAATACACTTTTTAGACTAGCCAACATTTATATTTTCATATTAAATTGTTGTAGGCCAACGTTAATATAAATTTTTAGGTTTTGAATTCTCGTAACTATTCTTCACTTGATTAAAAACTTCATTTGAGTTCACAAAAATGCAAACGTGAGACCACAATCGGACATTTATTCATCCAGTGTCATATATCTGTCATATGTCATATATGCAGTGTCAGTATCATACGTCACATCTCCGTCACCTTGTGACAGAGATGTGACGTATTAACGTCTCAAGAGGATCACGATAGGACGAAACCGTGACATATTTACGTCTCTTCAAGATTCCCGTGTGACAAAGATGGGACATACCCACGTCCGAGTCGCTGTGTGACGAAGATGTGACATATTCACGTCTGAGCAGGGACCAATTCTGACAAAGATGTTACTTATTCCCGTCTTAACAGGGTAACCACGTGACGGAATTGTGATATTTACGTCTCAATAGGGTCACCGAGAGCTAAGACGGGATTATGTCACATTCTTGTCACTCGGTGACATCACAGAAACAGTTCTATGTCTCATTGTGGTCTCATGTTGACGTCTGGGTAATGTCAAAATCTGACGTCCTCAAAGGCGGACATAGTAACCTTCAAAAACCCACTCATCGACGTCGCTGAGTCGACGTCGTCTTCATAAATGAGTCTGCGTGACTGTCGCGTTTTTGTTGCAATCTGGTAACGGTGCTATCACAAGGCTAAAGAGAATAGAAGGGCTGGTTCACTCCTTTGAAGTATCTCTTGCCGCGCCGATCCTCTGACGTCACTCTAGTGACGTCACTTTGGCGCAAAGCTCGCACTTTTACTTCAAGAACGGAGCGTTTGACATTACTAGCTCTAACTAATATTGGATCATTTCTTTTTGCGAGATATTCTAAGACATTTGTTATTTTCTATAATGACTTTCCTCAGTTTTTGCAGTGAATTTACAAGAATTTAAAACTATTNTAATAATAATCGTTTTTATTAGAATAATAATCGTTATACAATAATAACGATTTTATTTATAATGATATCGTTTTTATTTATAATAATATCGTTTTTATTTATAATAATAATCGTTTTCATTTCTAATTTTTATAATAATAATCGGCAATAAATATCGTTTTTGAATAAGCTACATTTTTTGTAATTTTATTCAAAAATAAGTAAGTTTTATTAATCAGTTAGATAGTTCACTCTTGTCGGTCAGAACTGTATTCTTTATTTCAAAATGATTTAAAAAACACTATTTATAAGTAGATTTTAATGGTTTAAAGAAGTTTAGTTAATTGTGCAAAAATGGTTACAGAAGCTTATTTTAAAGTTAAAACACGCAAAACAAATTTTCTTTGAATATTCCCAAATTATTTTTCTAGTCAAAAGCAGGAAGTAAATTTTAAACAGTCACATTTCTCTCTGGTTTAATACATTCAAAATTCCATCAAAATTAGGTGTTTTCACTGAATTTAAGATAGAATTCTTGTTCATTTTTTTTTTGCATTTCCTTCATTGTTTGTCTTTTTTTAAATGTTGTAGGAAAAAAATTAATTAATTTGCCTGAATATAAATGAACACAATTACAAGGGGGAATAATTGACTTTCAATTTTTTTCTGATGTAATTCAGAATATTCGAGACAATTAACTCGAAATAAGAAAAAACACATATCTCGTATTAAAGTCATTATCAATTTACCGCCGATATAAACTTTAACGTTTGTTTCGTTCTCTCTACTTTTATTAATAAAAAAAATATATATTGGACATCCATTTAATAAAAATGAATGTTTCTTTTTATCTTTTAGGTTAAGAGCGATCGTAGCTTCAGCTCTAAGAGCGGAGTGAACTAGCCCTTGTATTCTCTTTAGCCCTGGTGCTATCAGGGATATTCCGGGCAATAACACTCACATTTCTTAATTTATCCGATTGTTAACCCTCCGAGTACGGCTTCCTCGATTTGAGCGGGTTATCTGTTTCGTCCCCCACTACGGGTCACGTGAAAATCGCGGGCGAAGAAATTTTTCCCCTTATTTCAGTACGGATCCCGCCATTTCCCCGTGTATGACCATCATCCAAAACCATCATCTGATGCTTATTTTCGCTACTAGTTGGCACTAGAGGGTTCGGATGCTTTAGCATTGCATTTCATATCATACTTATAATTTTTGATATTTAGTGGTGAAAAAATTACTTAAAATGAAAAATACTAAACTAAAAGTAACTTAAACATTTTCAGGACCGGACAGGTATTTCAGAGGACCGGAAAGTATAAAAACTGAGCCGAACAACAACCACCTAGGATAGGATCTTCTAGTAGGTGTTGGCCGAACGCGGAGGGTTAAAACAATAAACAGTTCTTTCTAATAACAGCCGTATTTCCACCCACTAATATTTTCGTTAACCTTTTATAAGGAAAAAGAACAAGAAATATTAAGAGGGAAAAAAAACAACACATATCTACCCCAATTTCTGAAAAAAGATATATACTTCAATATTAAATAAAATTAAACAAAAAGGTTATAAAATTTAATTAGTATGGCATCAAACATTTTTAATTGCATTTGAGTTGCAGATAAAGAAGCGTTTTATTTTAAAATTCTGAAACCAAAAATAAATTCTGTGTGTGTGTTCGTTGGATCTGAGGCGGAGATAATGACGTAATATATAGGTAGCAAAGAGGGCAACTAAGTAGAATTATTTATCGCCATTGGCAAAGAAACATTCTTCACTAATTTGACGCGGTTGAGCCAAGTAAAATCGTTCTAAAAAATGCTTTATAAAAACTTTGAAAACCTGTTGCTTAAGAAATTTGAAAAACAAACATAGCACAAGAGCACATTAAAAATAGCATTAAATTCCTTTTCAAAAGATATCATGAAGGTGATTATTTTTTTCAATTTGAGCATAAATAAACATTTGAAACTATTTTAAAATTAGAACTTACATTATGAACGCTCATAATAGCACCACATGAAGCACAACCTCGGCTTATTTCTTCCATGGCTATAGAATATCCTAAATAATCCAATCCAGCACCACCATACTTTTCAGGAACTACAACTCCAAATAAACCAAGATTTCCAAGCTTTTTAACCTTTCAGAATGAACAAAAAAAAATTTATCATAGTAATTCCAAAACAGAACTGACATTTTAGGAGTTAAATAAATGTTACCAATATTATTAGCACTATATCGATTATACCTACACACATATATCTTCATCGATAAGTTTTTCATCTATTATGATGTCTATCTTTTTACATCAATGATTTTACACAACTTCTTTTAAAAATAAAATAAATCATTGAAGACTTAGATGAGATTCCGTTTTTTTCCGAGCTATGAAGTTCTTTTTTTCTAAAAATAAAACATATTAATCCTAAAATTTGATAAAATTTGTGTTTTTTAAAAGGGTTACTTTTTGTTCGAACTGCAATGACTTCAGACAAAATATTAAGACCTTCAATTTTTTTAAATAGGAATACGTGTCTTTTTTCTAAACACAAGATAAAAAATTTTGAAATTAAAGTATTTTTGAAGGTGTTTCTACTCTAATTTGTTTTTATTACAGTCTAAAAGTCTACAGATGGGCGCAGGGGATAGAGTGTTAGCTTCCCATTGAGGTGACGAATAAGCTCGAATTCCTCCAACGATGGCTGATTGTTATGAAATCTGCTCCCGGCTCAATCCAGAAGTTTCCTTTACTTCAGGATTGGGTTCAAAATTCGAAGGATACGGAATTGAAATTGATAGTCGTCAACTCACAATTGGGCCTGCTTTTCAACGACTCTTATAAAAAAAATCTATAAAAATACTGAGATAATCAGCTTTTGATCACCTCAATATAGTTTTACATAGGTGTTTCATAATCACCTCTCGTAATGTAGCATGTTTTATAGAATTCTTGACAAAAATGAAATAAAAAATGATACACATTAGGGAATCTGGATTAATATTTAAATCAAAAAAGGAAACAAAACCTGATGAATCATCAACGAAGAAACCGAGAAGATCGATTGCCAGTTGAAGAGTAAGTTTGATTTTCGTAAAACACAGGGCGAAAAAGCGATTAACATCTTACAGTTTCATCTCGCTATAAAACTCGTTTCGATATTTTTAAACTCACTTTCCTTAGTAATTACGAGGCATATTTTGATAAAGCTTAAATTTTTTCTCGATTAATTACCATTTTGCTCCACCTATGTGTATACTCTTTGCGGCTTCATTTTTGGACAATGATTCTAAAACTATCCATTAATGACGGTGATTACAGAACACCACGTCACAAGAAAGCGATGCGATACTTAAACAATTTACCAATTATTTTAATTGGAAGTTTCTAATCCCGAATAATACAATAAATAAACAAATTTGGCTTGTAGTTTGTTTTCCTACATTTAAGTTGTTAAATATAAAACTTAAATCAGTTTTATATTTGAAAAAATAAGACATCCAAATACCGCGTTGCATTACTTAAAAGATAAAAAGAAATGTTTTTTTTTAAATTGATACTTAGATTTGTTTCATAAAACAAAGAATGTTATTTTGTTACTTGTTCTCTCGGGTACAAGTGTTCCTTGTCTATTTTTGATGCAATTGGTTGCAGTTCCGCTTCTGCGAATTCTTGGCATGTTTTCTGCAACATTCTGTGCGTTTCAGACAAATGAAATAAATTAGATATAGCTCTAGTCTTGAATAGAAATAGTGATCCACCTGAAAGGCACAACTATTATTCAAGTAAATAATATATATATAT